TGGTTTTAAAATACTAATAAAATTTTATTAGAAGGCATTTTGAAAACAATCTTTTGCAATTATTAATCTCTTCATTTCTCTGTGTATTGTATTTTAGAGGTAGCAACACGATTATCAGCTGTCTGCTGTGAACGAATGGCAACTAACAATGGTATTCAAACAATATACGAGTTATTAAATGGTTTCAATCGCAGTCTACCACATATGCAAGCAATATCACGAAGTATCAGTATACTAGTGAATTTAGCCAAGGTAGGTGACGTGAGATCAGTAACTCTCACCCCTCTACCATCAAACTAGGCTCTGGTTACTTTCACTCTATTTCACATATTTTATATGTCGAAATTACTTGATAATCAACTCAAATAACAGTTTACCATCATATAAAAACCACCTGTCTATAAGACCATTTCGTTGAAGCCTTTTAAGTATCGTAAGATCTGTATTAGAAGCCGCATCCTAATGGGAGTCGCACCTATTCTTTTTGAATAATTGAGAACCAAAAACTCATCATTTCTCATATGTGTAGATGCTCTAATAGAAACCGCATCCCCTCTATTGCATTGTACCATTTTAACAGAAGCCACGATTTTATTTTAGGAATCATCCCTTCAGCGAAAATAGCGAAAATAAATTCCAAGCAAAAATAAAGTATTCTACAGTATTTTGTTTTTTGTTATGGTGTTTACAAGGTTGTGTAGTCATACTTGTGAATTTCAATACTGTTTCTACACTTGTGTTTTCTGTCTACTGATATTTTATTATTATTCATTGTTTTGTTTTTTTAGTATGAAGCCACCGTCAGTGCCGTCTACTATGTTCGTGATAAAATCAATAGTATCAATATCATCATGGAACAGATTCAGAATTTCCGAGAGAAAGGATGTTCTATCTTTACAAAAGCCTGTTTATTGCTCAGTATCCTCGGACAACATGAACATATTCGTGAGGTGAGATGTTTGATGACAAAGCACTCCTTGTCCTCTCACATACCCCCACAATCACAGCAATGCGACAGACACACATCGTTCTTCGATTTCAGCGATATTGTCACCACAGCAATGAATCAATTGTTTAAAATTATGGATAGTCAATACTTTTTTGCATTTTTTTTTTGTACAAAATTCAAAATATTAGTTGCTTAGTGAACGAGTGTATAACTGAAAGGACAGGCTGGCATTAGTCGACAGCAATACATGTAATTTTTTTACGCTTCAGAGCAAAATTTTTATTTTTAATTGCAGGAAATTCTAGCAATGCCGAAGTTTACCGACAAGATAAAAAGTTTGTATACATTGACTATGAGGAAGCGTAAAAGGAATGTCGAGTTCGAGAGAATGAAGTCGCTGAACTCGTCGATGTTCAATTCGTTCATGGTGGCGCCGTCGTATAATCTGAACGTTAAACCTGCCTGGAATTTGAGCACAAATAGAATGAAGGAGACCGAAGACTCGCTTGAAGCTATCAAATCTGTTGCTAGGGTATTTCAAATACAAATATGATTGCTGTGCAATGGTCATTCCTGTTGCCAATTGATTTTGCGATTGATTGTTATGCAGTGTAGAGCAACTTAATATCTGTTGTCTTGGAGATGGTGATGTTTGCATGTTTGCATCACACCACTTTTTGATTCAGAAAAAAATTAATGATTGAATCTACACACTCTTTGAATGTAATTTTTTTCTATTCTAATTCCTGGGGGCATTGTTCTTAAAGTCTGTGTGAACTCTTGTCTGAAAAACCCTAATGGAAAGTTCTAGATTTGTCCTCAGTCTTTGTCTGTAGAAAGTAATCAAATTCACCATTCCTTACGCGTAGAAACGTTTTTGTATTGTGAAATTGTATTAATGCAAAATTTTTCAGCATGTGATTTTAATAATTGAATTGTATTTGTAATAGATCATATTGGTTACGCAGTATTTATGCTTTACTTTTAGTAGTGTGTAGATACGTAGACATCATTACGTTGATTACACTATTTCTTTATCATTTCATGCCTTTATGAATCCAAGAAATGAGCAAATGTGAAAGAACTGATTGTAAATATTTTGTATTAATCTTATTTTCTGTTACTGTCCTCTTGTAACCATAGAAACTATCATTTATTAGCCAGTTTATCAGACTCATAATAGAAATTTGGTGATTTCTTTTATGAATTGTTGGTATGAGAAAATAAACCAAATATTTAGTAAAAAGCACTGATTGATTATTTTATTATTTTTTGTGTAAAAATGATTCAACGTCGTGCATAAAATCATTTACTATATACCCTATATATAAAATATGTTTTTGAAATTCAGTACCTCACCCTCTTGGCTATTATCATCAATATTTTGTCACTGGAGTGATTTACATTGTCAATTTTTGTTCCCATCTAATCACTGGACTGAATTAATGATATTATCAAAAAATCATAGAAGATTTGGTGAAAATTGGTCGTTTCTGGCATTGATGTGCAATAAGACTCAATTTTCAAGGACGCAGGTTGTTTGAATCGGACTGTTTCTTTTGTTTCGAGTTCGTTGTGAGTCAAGAGACATAACAACGTTGTCTTTTAGTGAATATAGAATATGTTTTGTTTCAATACAGGATTTTGATATGGGCAATTTTAACAATTTCTCACTGGAGCGTCCCCTGTATAAATAGTCTTCTACTCTCCAAAAATTGACAATGGTACCAGCCCAGAATGGACTTCCTGTTCAGTGCGTCTTTGATAGATAGAAATAGATGGAAATACCAGTTACATCACTCATGAAGATTGTTGATTTGATTGCTGGCCGGAATAGCTGTATTTAGTGTTCATTTCTATGCAATATGTCTACACTCGTGATTCTTAATTTCTATGTGTAAAATCATATGGCTGCTGTGGACGGCGACGGCTGACAGATTGTTGTAGTTCTGCAGCTTTCTTGGCACAGACAACTGGTTTTAACTTTCTTTTTTTACTATTCTGAAGTTTACTTGGTCGCATTTTGTATATACCAATCAGACACTGACAACAAGTAAGTGAATGGGCCGACACATCGTCAACATGAGACTGAAGGCCCCTGAGATAGTGTCATCTTACAACATTAATGAACGAAAATGACATTACAATCATGCTTTCGAACAATCCTATATTTAGGGTGGAGAACAAAGTATACAAGTACTGTATATGATTGTTGTTTTTTTTGTACAAAATTACTAGAACATAAAACAAACAACCGACAACAATCGAAAAATAAAAAAAAACAGCAGAGTACACCACCTACACTACAGTCACTGTAGTCACATCAGTAAGAAAAAGATACTGTTGAACTCGTGGTAAATACAAAATGTCAATGAATACAATATTTATAAAACAGTCTCGCTGCCTCTATGGACAAGTTGAAAACCCATAATATTGCAAAACCGTCAGTTGTGAATTGAATGTTAAATCTCAGTATTTCCACATGAAGTTACACAGATTGAAAAACAAATGCATTATTAAGACAAGGAAATAATGTTTTTTTGTCAAGGCTATATACTAAATTCTCTTATTTGGAGGGGGGTTGTGAGTGTACACGTATGCATTAAAATATGTATACCCATTAAAATTGTCAAAACTTCAAATTTAATCATAGTAAAAATTACACAATTATCGACTGATTTTGGATTTGTTGGAAAAAAAATAGCCGAAATTGTCTAATTGGTGGGAATTGCCAAGCCAGTCTATAAAATAGTGAACAAAAATTTTCGTAAATATTACTGACCGCCAAAAACGCCCATTGTTATAATAATACGGTGTAATAAAAATAGAAACACGCACTATTTTGACATGCACATTAGGTTCCTACGAAATGCCCGCTGTTCCTTGACTAGTGTACCAACTGCATCGGAAAAATCCTCCAATTGTTATTCACACTGCCCTCGATAACAGAATTTACAATCAACCTTTATGATGACGAGCTGGTTTCTATGGTTACAGTGAAAACAAATCTGAATGAATATAAATCAATATTTGATGAAACAATTGGCTTGGTAGATTAACTATTTATACACCAAATTTAGTTCTCGCTTAGATTTGTTCAAATTTACTGTCATTTTCACAGAATTTGATCTTAATTTTGGCTCAAACAGACAAAATGTGATCTCTTTAACTTTAAAAAGTTTTCAATTTGAAATTTTTTGCAACATTTTTGGATTGTTGCCTGAAGCAGACTTTTTTTGACACTCAAAGGGTTAAAGGTCAATATTCTGTGGTTTTTTTTCATTTTCATTCCAGTAATACCGAGACATAATCACTGTTGTGGTGTCATTTATGGGATGTTCATAGAAAATAAATGAGCCACCTACATGCAAATGTCATTTTTTTTCTAGTTATCATCTAGTTACATGTCCTGTCAATTATTTGTTATATACTTTGTGAAATCAAAGAGCTTTGTAGATGTTTGCAGGTATGTGATAAACAGGTGTTGTGAACTTCTTTTTTCCTGTCAGTTTCCCTTGAAATGAGAGTGATCTTTTATCGCATGAATGACGCGGTCTGCGAGACTGACTGCTACAAACATTTCATAATGAGGCTTCTCAAAAACGGTTTGCATTTCACGGCGAATTATCGAATGATAATGATACCATCGGCTTTATTGTTAGCTACACACTCCAAATAAGGCCGTGTTGGAACGATTTTTGTGAAACTCAGAGGACATTCGCGATTTGAATGAAAGTGAACTGGTTAGCATGGATAGATGGTAGTGCGTGTGTTGGAATGTTTTTTTTTTTTAGTCATGTAACATTAAAAGGAATGGAATAAATTGCGCACCTCGTTGTAGTTACTGTTGTTGTTCTTATAATTTGCCAGCCCGTCAGTAACTTCAATTGGATAAATGTGTGCACTCCTGTGTGATGGACTATTTACCTTCCTTTCATAAAAAAAGAAAGAATGATCACATTCATTGTGAATGATCGCATTTTATTTTTGTCCAAGGCACTTGTTTCTGGTATTTTGATATTCAAAAAAAATGTGTACCAATCAAAAAGTTGTTGCATATGATCAATGAATTGTTTGTTTGGTTTTGTCTGAATATTTCTGTCTGAAGCATATTTGAAATCATGGGAGGTGTCTGGTAGATAAGTTTGAAAAACAAAACCAGCTGAACACTGAAAGGAAAAATAATTTTCTCCTCCCCATCAGCAGAATGTTACATTGGTGATTACTCGTAAAAAAGTGCTATTCTTTTTCACTACAGGGAAAAACAGATACTGTTATCAAACAAAAACGGAACTTATTTGCAGTTCAGTTTTATCATACTGGGAAAAAAA